GATGATAGAAAGTGCAATTTACATAGACTTCAAGAACAGAATGAGACAGGAAAGGCAACTTCATAATCTTAAAACAGTGATTCTGTTGGGAAAGTCTTGGAGGTGGACTAGGCTGTGGATAAGAACTGAATGTATTGTTTTCTAAAGTCTGTAGAACTGAGGGATATGGTGAAATGATGTGAAGATAGTGCTGAGAGATACAATGAGAAAGTGAGTTTGGGATGTAATGAGGTAATGGGCCAATGGATTATGAAAAAGGAAGAATTTGTTGTTCGTTTAAAAACAGGAGCAGGTTGTTATTATTTCCCAGGCAGAGACTATGTTTATAGTCATCATGTGACGATACTGTGGTGTTAAAAGGTATATTTTGCTCTTTTTATTTTGAATGAAGACAGGTTGAGACAGAGGTGGTGAGCAGTCTGCTCAAAGCCAATAAAGTAAACAGTTTATGAGACCTTTTTTTTTAAAGTTGGAACAATAGAAGCAGCCTGAAAGGGTGGGGTCAAATTCTCACAGAATCAGGATTTTTAGTTTAGCTTTCTGCCGTTACTGGAGTCATGAAGCTGGATGTGGAAGCTCTTACTCCTCTATATGTCACAGCTAAAAGCTGAGGTTCTCCTCTTGCTGCTAAAATTGCATATGAGAGAATCTATCTTACTGAATTTACCTTTGCCAAGGATATGTTTATGGGATGTTACTACATTGGGACAGTTAATTAGTAGTTTATACATATATTATTTTGTGAAGCATTTTGAAAGAGTTGCAGTTAAACCAATTCTTTTCTTTTTGTCTGTATTTTAACTGTAGTGTAAAAATAAAATGTGTTTTGCCTAAAGGCAAATAGTTTGACCAATCGAATTATATCCGGAATGCAACGCCTTGTATTTACCTTCAAAATAAGAAAAAGGTACAATCTAGGCTATTTTCTTCAGGGGATTTAGTCTGGTTCGTAACAAATTGGGGGCTCTTCTTGGGATCAAAATCTCTAATTCCAGGTTGGGTTTAGGATTATTGGTCTTAAAGGCAGTGAGTGGCGAAGTGTTGGTTTTCTCTGTTAAGGTGTCAAATTCAGTTGGTTTAAATAGGGTGTACCTTATATAGTAATGTCTCTTTCAGTTACTGAGAGTTTCCTGGGGATGGATGAAGTCACTTTGGAAGTTTTACAGGAAGTGGGCAAGCTATCGGAATTGGCAGACAAGCTGCAATAGGGTTGCCTTTGTTTGTGCGAAAAGGGGAGGTAATTGCAGCAATAGCTCAACATTTACGACTGCTGGAAGTGCCATCAGAATGTTTGGAAATGGCTAAAATTCAGTTACAGATGAAATATCTTGAATATGAAAAGAAAGTGAAACTGTTTGAATTACGATTGAAAGCAGAAGAAAAACAGAAATAGAGAATAGCGATGGAAAAAGAAAAAGAAAGAATAGCTCTGGCAGAACGAAACAAAAAGGAAAGGATAGCCCTAACAGAACAAAAAGTAAAGGAAAGGATAGCCTGAACAGAAGAAACAGAGAAAAGAGACAGTTTTTGAACTATGGAGTTTGGAACTGAAACCTCAAAGTCGACTTAAAATGGTGGAGGTAGAGGTGAAAATTAGGAGAGTTATGGAGAGCAATTCCATTGTAGCTAAAGATCTGATGGGGTCTCTTTAAATCTGTCCAAGCTTTGCCTAAGTTTGACAAGAAGGATGTGGAAATCTTTTCCATTTCATTTCATTTGAGAAAGAGGCTAAACAAGTGAAATAGCTGGTGACCATGTGCGGATTGTTGATCCAAACAAAGGTGGTAGGTAGAGCTAGTGAGGTGTTTGCCTCCCTATCAGAGGAGGTGTCTCGGGAGTATGAGGAGGTGAAGAAAGCCATCTTAAGTGCATACGCCAGAAGTTTATAGACAAAGTTTCAGGAATCTAAGGAGGGATTCTGGTCAAACGTGCATTGTATTTGAAAGGATCAAAGTAACTTTTATGGGTGGAGAAAGGCATTGAATAAGTTCAGACATATGATGCTCTAACAGAGATGATTATTTTGGAGGAGTTCAAAAATTCACTTTCTGAAGTAGTGAGAAGTCATGTAGAAGAGCAGAGAGTTAAAATTGCAAGATTAGTAGCTGAAATGGCCGATGATTATGGGTTGGTTCATAAATCAAAATTTGGCTTCAGACATCAATTTCAATCTGAAAAGGATAGAAATTGGAGAAAAGAGAAATCAGGTGGTAAGGAAAAAGGAGATCTCATTGAAGGTAGTAAAGATAGTTTACCACAGGGTAAAAAGGAAACCCATGACGGGGAAGAAGAAATAAAAAAGCTCAGGTGTTTTCACTGCAATAAAGTAGAACACATGAAGTTGCAATGTTGGTGATGTAGAATAAGCAATGGGAAGATGGATGTGGGAAGACAGGATAAACCAGTGAATTTTGTTGAAGTGGTAAAGGAAAGCACAGTGGAAGCTAAAGTGCTGGAAAAGAATGTATGACCTGGTCAGGGGTTGGTTGAGAAGAAAGTGCCAAAGCTCTTTAAAGAATTTATTTGTGCAGGTAAGATTTACTCATGTATGCCAGGAGGAATCGGTAAAGATTTTAAGAGGCGTGGGAGCAAGTCAATCTTTGATGGTGAAAGATGAGGACATATATAATTCAGAAGGAGTATTGCCAGAAAAGGTGGTGATATGTGGAATTCATGGTGAGACAAGAAATATTCCGTTATATAAAATAAGGTTAGAGAGTCCGGTGAAAAGTGGTAAAGTGGTGGTGGGAATAATAGAGAAATTCTTGGTTCCGGAAATACTTTTTATCCTTGGTAATGATATAGCTGGATCATAGGTGGGAATGATGCCTACTGTGGTTAAAAAGCCAGTGAAAAATCAGGCATCTGAGGTGTTACAGGACATTTATCCTGTGATTTTTCTTGACTGTGTGGCAACTAGGTCACAAAATCACAGGTGGAAACAGGAGCAGAAATCAAAGAATAAAGATAAGGAAGTTAAAGTTCAATTATCACAAACGATGGTTGAGAAAAAATAACAAGAACAGGTGGAAGATAAAGTAGATATTTTTAGTACAGAGAAATTAGCTGAATTACAACAGAAAGATGAAAAACTAAAGCATACACAGCAGAATTTGTGTGCATCCCTGAATGTTACTTTTTTAAAAATGAAGACTTGATGAAGAAATGGAGACCATTGCATATTCAGGTGGGTGAGAAATGGGCAGAAGTTAATCAAGTTGCATTACTAGTGTGTTATAAAAAAGCATTGTAGGTAGCACACAAATTACCAGTAGGAAGCCTTTTAGGAGTAAGGGAAACTCAAGCCAAAATGAAAAAAATATTTTTATTGGCCAGGACTGTATAAGGATGTGGTTGATTTTTGCTGGAGATGTCCTGGGTGTCAGGTTATCGGAAAACCTCAGGCAGTGATAAAACCAGCACCCTTAATACCCACTCCTGCATTTGAGAAAACTTTTGCTAGAGTCTTAATTGATTGTGTAGGATCCCTATCCAAAACAAAAAGTGGGAATCAGTATTTGTTTACCGTAATGGATGTGTCTACTAGATTACCAGAAGCCACTCCATTACACAGTATCAGGACTTAAAAGTATTGTAGAAGAGTTACTGAAATTTTTTACAAGGCTATCCACAGAAATACAATCAGATCAAGCGTCAAATGTTACATCAACATTACATCAAGGAAGTTGTGGATAGCTTAGGAACAAACCAATTCAAATCCACTGCATATCATCCAGAATCACAGGGAGGATGAGAACAGTGGCATTAAACTTTAAAGACTATATTGAGGGCTTAATGTCAAGGCTATCCACAGGATTGAGGTAATGGAATTCCATTTGTACTTTTATAATTGGGAAGCACATAATGAATCAACTAAATTCAGTCCATTTGAATTAGTTTTTGGGCATGAGATGAAACAAGCACTGAAATTAATTAAGGAGAAATTGGTGAGTTAGAGTTCAGAGACCATACATTTGGACTGTGTGTGAAATTTTAGGGCAACATTAAATAGAGCTGGTGAGTTGGCTAGACAGCATTTAGAAGTAGCCACAGCATGTGATGAAACAGGAAGCAAACAAGAAATCAAAATTTCATAACTTTGCTCCTGGAGATAAAGTGTTAGTTTTACTCCAAATGGTAGATGGACCTTTAAAGACATGGTTTAGTGGGCCTTATCAAATCAAAAGATAATTGAGTGCGGTGAATTATTTCAAAGAAGGCCAGATAGAAAGAAATCTCACAAAGTGTATCATGTGAATATGCTCAAAAAGTATTTTGATAGGGAAGGAAAGCAAAAGGAGAATATGTTACTGGTTAAAACACAGAGTGAAGAACCAAGTTCAGATGATTCTGAATTAGACATTCCTCAAATTAAATTGGACAAAGAGGAAGTTCTCAAAAATTAGCATAAATTAGTGTGTTATCTTCCAGAGGAAAATCAAAATGACCTGAAAGAGTTATTATAATTACTTGAGGAGATATCTGGGAATAAGCTGGGAAGTACTAATCTGGTTATGCATGATGTAGATACAGAAAATGCTGTTCCAATTAAGTAACATCCTTATAGACTTAACCTTCAAAAGTTGGCACAGGTTCAAAAAGATATCGAACACATGCTCAAAGACAATATAATCAAAGTGAGTTGCAGTGAATGGGGCTCAGCCTTAGTAATGGTGCCAAAACCAGACGGTACCCAGTTTTGTATTAATTACCGCAAAGTCAATGCAGTTACAAAATCTGATTCATATCCTACTCCACGTTTTGAAGAATGCATTGAGAAGGTGGAACAAGAAATTTAGATTTCAAAGTTGAACTTAGAGGATTTCTTTATCGGTAAGAGTGAAGGAAATTTTAGCTTTCGTGACACGAAATGGACAATGCCAGTTTAAAGTCAAACCAAAAAATGCACCAGCCACATTTCAAAGACTAACCAATAAAGTTATTTTGGGATTACCCAATAATGTCATGTACATCAATGATCTGATGATTTTTAGGCACATATGGAACATTTGGAGCATCTGTCGGAATTGTTGGATCGATTTTGGGAGGCAGGCTTGGTAATAAACCTGGCTAAGATTGAGTTCGCAAAAGCTCAAGTTATGTCCCTGTGCCATGTTATTGCACATGGACACATGGCCCCGTGGGATGTGAAAACAAAGGTTATTGGGGGGTTTCCCATACCATTGACCAAGAGGGCAGTACTACGATTCCTGGGATTGAGTGTTTTCTATCAGACATTTGTACCAAATTTTAGCACTGTGGTTACTCTACTGACTGACTTATTGAAGAATTGCAGAAAATTTCAGCGAATGGCAGCATTTGGCAGCCTGAAAGCTGTGTTAACCACTGTCCCAGTGTTAGCAACACCTAATTATACAAAGCCATTCAAGGTGGCTTTAGATGTGAGTGACGTGGGTGACAGTGCTGTACTGTTGCAAGGTGATGAGAAGATAAAAAGACCTATTCGGTATTTTTCTAGAAAATTGAATAATCATTAACAGAAACATTGCACAATTGAGAAGGAGACTTTGAGTTTGGTGTTGGTCTTGCAATATTTCAATATTTATGTTGCCAGTAATGTGACTGAGACAATTATATATACTGATCATAATCCCGTCAAGATTTTGGAAAAAAATTAAGGATAAAAATTCCAGAGTGTTTAGATGCAGCTTAATATTGCTGCTACTCAATTAAAAAAAATTCATGTGAACAGACGAGAGAATGTAATTGCTAACGTGTTGTCACGACTTTGATGAACAAAGATGGAGGTATTTGGTGGCAGAAAAACATGGACTGAAATGGACAATGGTAGTGAATGTTTGCGTGCTTAGAGTCTATGTAATGTATATGTATTATAGTGTCAGATGAAAGGTTTTTAAAATGAAGCCATCTTTGTATATCAATGGTTTTTTTTTCTAATGGGGAGAGGTATGACAATACCATGACTTCAAGAAGTATACTTTGGTTCCTTTCTTCTTATGAAAAAGCCTGAAGCACAAATGCCGAGTGATTTGCTTAAATCCAATAAACAGCTTATGAGATCTTGGGGTTTGGTTTTAATAGTTGGAACAATAGAAACAGCCTGTATGGGTGGGGTCAGGCTGTCAGAGAACCAGGATTTATGCAGTTGTAGTTGCCGGTCCACTGAAGCTGGATGTGGAAACGCTCATTTCTCTGTGATACAGCTAAAAGCTGGGGTTCGCTTCGTGCTGCTGGAATTGCATGTGAGAGCATCTATTTTACTGAATTTGCCTTTGCCAAGGGTGTGTTTATGGGATGTTACTATACTGAAATAGTTCATTAGTAGTTGTTTATATATATATATAATTTTGTTAAGTGTTTTGATAGAGTTGCAGTTAAGCCAATTCTTTTATTTTTATTTTTGACTGTATTTTAATTCTAGTTTATAAGTAAAGTGTGTTTTGCTCAAATTCGAATACTTTGACCCATTGAATTGCATCTGGAACGCAATGCCTTACACTTACTTTTAAAATAAGAAAAATTTATGACCTAGGCTATCTTATTATATTTTGAGGAGTTTGGTCTAATCCATAAAAATCTGGAAGAAAGCTTGCCAAAGCAGAAATCATGACACCCTTTTTCTTCGTGGATAGTGTTTATTAACTACTCAATCCTATAGTCCCTACCAATCACCAGTCATCTGAGGCTGTGACAGGTGCTATATAAATGCAAGTTCTTTTTTTCTCCCCCTTTGTCTCTTCGCAACTCCAAGGGTTATGATGAATTCAGTAAACTAGCCAGGAATGACCCTTGGTTTCATAACAACTATAGTCATGCAGGGCAGCTTATATAAGCCATCTCCCAGTTTCTGACATCAACACTCTCAGCCTTGAAACAGCTGCTGGGTTCCCCTTGCTCTTTGCACTATAAATCTGCAAGGCTTGTATCATCTCCAGACTCCTGTTCTTGGACAGCAACCCACTGAATATGCAATGACTGACTCATAAAACCCACCATTGGATAATTGGCACTCACAAAATAATTCATCATCTGCACTTTGTACTACTATGAAGTATCTTCCCATCAAAAGGACAGCATGGGTGAGCTTCCTTTAACTGTAATTTCCTTCATTCACTACTGGCTGCTATGCCTTCAGCTGCCGAGGCTCTCAGTTCTGGAAGTTTTGATATAAACTGCACTCTTTATTTCTCTCTTTTTTAAAATCTCTCCTTGAGACATACCTCTTAGACCAAGCCTTTTCATCACCTTCACTAATAGTTCATTTGGTGGATCCATGGCAGATTTAGTTGGATCAATCTCCCATGAAGCAACCAGGTGTTTTATGTTAATAAAGTTGTTTGATGGTTATAGACCCTGTATGTATTGGCCAATGAGCAGCTCTGAGGCAGCAGAATACACCTGAAGGTGCTGACTCACAGTGGGGAGATAATTCCTGCAGGTGCTGACTCACAGTGGGGAGGTAATTCCTGAAGGTGCTGACTCACACTGGGGAGGTAATTCCTG